ACATCGCGGCAGAACAGCACAAAACGGCGCCTGTCAAATGCGACGTTGCTAAGGCGCGTCTCTCTGCGGCGCGGCTGAATCGGCGGCGGCGCGTGATGCCGCGGCGGGCGACGAAGTGTGCGCGCGCAAGTTACAGGATGCTTTGCGGCCCTTTTGCCGGTGTCGGCCATTGATAGGCCGCGGAGAGGCGGCAAAGGCCCATGCGACAGAGTCCCACCGTAGGCCCGAGGCGGAGACACAGCGGATGAGACACTACATGGTCCAACTGTCCGCACTGGCCAGTCGTGGGCCGCTGTGAGGGCAAACGAGCCCTTGCCACAGAGGCCAGGAACAGGCTTGGGGCAGATCGAGCACAGACGGGACGCTGCATGGTCCGTCTGTCCCCCTTGGCCAGCAGTAGGCCGCGGGGTGGGCGAGGGGGCCCTTTTGCCACAATGGCCAGTAGTAGGCTTGGGGCGGGTCAAGCACAGACGTGACACTGCATGGTCCGTCAGTCTCCTTTTGGCCAATAGTTGGCCGCGGGGAGGGCGGAAGAGCCCTTGCCACAGAGGCCATTAGTAGGCTCGAGGCTGAACCAGCGCAGACGGGACACTGCATGGTCCGTCTGTTCCCTTTTTGGCCAATGGTAGGCCGCGGGGAGGGCGAGAGAGCCCGTGCCTCAGAGGCCAGTGGTAGGCTTGAGGCAGATTGATCATGACGGGGCACTACAAGGTCCGTCACACGCACTGGCCAATAGTACGCCGTGGTGCGAGCAGAGGAGTCCTTGCCACAGAGGCCAGTAGTAGGCTTGAGGCTGATCGGGCTCAGACGAGACGCTGCATGGTCCGTCTGCCCCCTTGGCCAGTAGTAGGCCGCGGGGAGGGCGAAAGAGCCCTTGCCTCAGAGGCCAGTAGTGGGCTTGAGGCGGAAAGACCTTGACTGGACACTGAATGGTCCGTCTTTCCTTTATGGCCGGTGGTAGACCTGTGCGACGACCGCGAGGAAGAGGGAGTCCGCAGCCCCTTTTGCTGGAAACTGCGAGCGAGCGCCCCGACGCTCCAGCTTGCCCCCGCGCCTAAGCGCTTCGCGCGCCGCGCGCCCCCGCGCCCGCTCGCGATTCGTTATCAGGCGGATGCTATCAATGTGCGCTTTAGCGAAGCCCATGATTTGGCGGCGAACAACGAGAGGTAGGCCGGGCGCGGCTTGGTCCAGGGCGAACCGCACGTTCGCCCTGACCACCTCCAGGTTGCCTTGCCTTTCGTCGCGTCACTCGTCCAGAGGCGGCGCGGGCATGACCAGGGGCGGGCCCCATGGGCGCGGGCCACTTGGGGCCCGCCCCTTTGGTCAGCAGGTGCGCCAGTTTTTCCCGCGCCTGCGCCGAGCGCGCGACCGCAGACGCGCTGCGCGCGAGTGCCGCCGCGCGCGCCTTCAGGCCTTGACCAGGCTTGCCCAGCGTTGCAGGGGGCCCAGAATCGCGAGACATGACGGCACAGAAACGCAGCGAAGCAGCGCCCGCGAAGCGCGCGGCGAACTCTTGGCACGTGGCAGGCGAGCTGCAGCGCTGCGCACAAGCTGCGGTCGCGACCGCTCTCGCGCGCGAGCGAGCAGCGCGGTGCAGGCGCGCGGGCCCCCAAGGGGGCGGGCCCCTGGGCCGCGCAAAAGAACCAGTTTTCGAGCTGGGCAGAACAGACGAGGGAACGCGGTACCTGCGGAGGGAGGGGGGGTGGGGAGGAGATGAACCTGCGCGCGACGGACGCGCGACGGAGGCCGGCGCGCGCGCGCGGCGCGCGCGGGCGGGCGCGCGCGGAGAGAGGGGGGGGTGGGGGGGGCACGGCCTAGCAGAAAGCAGAGGGCAGCAGGAGAGAACGAGGAGGAGGGGGGGCGAGAGGAAGGAAGGGAGAGGAGAGAAGGAGCAAGAGGGAGAGGGAGGAGGTGGAGAGAAGGGAGAGACAAGAGAGAAGGAGGAGAAGGAGAGAGGAGAGAGACAGGAGAGGAGAAGGGAGAAACAAGACTGCAGCGGGCCTGCCCGTCCTGCAGATACTCGCGGTCGCCTGCGCGGCGTCGCGGCGCGCGCCCGCCCCCGTCGGGCCGCGCGCGCACCTGCGACGAACGCCTGCGCGGCGAGGGCCCGCGCGCGCGCGGACCTGCCCCGCGCGCGCGCGCGCCTGCCAAGCGATCCACGTACACCTGCAGGACGCGCACCGCGCGCGCCTGCTGGCCGCGCGCGACCTCCCGCTGCACCCCCCCCAAGAATTGTGCCCACGAACAAAGCAAGCTTGCGCGCCCACAATTTACTCAGGACCCCCGCTCCTGAGACTTCCTCACAATTTACTCAGGATCGGTGCTCCCGCTTGTGACTTCCTCGCAATTTAGTCAGGACCCCCGCTCCCATCTGAGACTTCCTCACAATTTATTCAGGAACGGCGCTCCCGCTTGAGACTTCTTCGCAACTGAGTCAAGACTTTTTCGCAATTCGGTCAAGACCCCCGCTCCCGCCAGAGAACCCTTCACATTTTATTCAGGAGTTGCGCTCTCGCCTGTGACTTCCATGCAAGTTATTCAGACATCGCGATTTCCACGCTCAGGAAGCACGCTGCGCCAAGGACGCCGTGGCAATTTACTTCGTAATCGCGCTCTCGCCATACTCAGGCATCCCGCTTGAATGTCCCACCCGCCCGACCCGCCCGTCAGGGGATCGCCCGCCCGTCGTGGGCTCCCGACCGAGACTTCCTTCAGGGACGGCGCTTTTGCTTAGGAATTCCTCGAGCGTTCACGCTCTTACCTTCCTGCTCCTCCTCCCTCTCCCTCCTCCTCTCCTCCCTTCTCTCTCCCTCATCTCTTCCCTCATCCTTATGCCTCTCTGTCATATCCCCTCCCTCCTCTCCCTCCTCCCTCCCCTCTCCTGCCTCCTCCCTCCCTCTTTCCTTTTGTTGTTTTCTCTCTCTCTCTCTCTCTATTCTCTCTCTCTCTCTCTCTCTCTCTCTCTCTTTCTTTACCTCCCCTATATATTTTTCTCTACCTCTCTTATATGTTTTTTTGTTTTTTTTTCCTCTCTCTCTCTCTCTCTCTCTCTCTCCCTCTGCCTCTAATCAGCCGCCCCCCTGTTCGCTTCTTCTCTCCTGGTGTTTTCCCTCTTCGTTCGTCCCTCCCCCTCCCTTCCTCCCACTCACCCTCGTTCTCCCCCTCCTCTTCTTGCAGGGCCCACACCAATTCCACTGGCGGGCACATGTACGACCATGAAGGATTGTCCGCCCGTTCAGGTTTGCCCGCTTGTCTAAGCCCGCCGCCCCCCGCAAAGAGAAATAATCACCCCAAAGGGGGTGTGATCGAAGACAAACATGGCGGGTATCAAGGGTGTGGGGAACTCGTTTTGAATGACACACGGGAAAGTAAGAACGAACAGTCTTAGAATGATTGTTGTTGTTGTTCTTGAACATTATTACTTCTAAAGAATAATTATTGTTGGGACCCCTGGTGCACGACCCCCCCGCCGCGCCTAGGCCGCAGCCTCATTTTCATCATTTTCGTGAGGAAGTCTCAGGCAAAACGGGGGAATCCGGATCCGGTTGTGTTGTTACGATCGGTTTTCCCTTGCAAAAAATAAGCTAAAGTGGACATTTCTTGTTCTAACATAACCAAACTTCAAGAATCCCTTGCAAAAAATAAGGTAAAGTGGACATTCGCGCGCGCAAGACGAAATCCTTCCAAAACCTTAGTTTTCGTAGCGATTTTAACATAAAAACATCAAAAAACCAATGGTTTTTCAAAAAAAATGTCAAAATTTCATCCCGCGCGCTCTTGCGGATTCGTAGGAAACCCAACACTTTTTAATCATTTCTGTCAAACGGGCTTTTGCGAGCAACTTTTTCGAACTTCTGCAACAACGGTTGCGCACCTGCCAGGGCCATCATCCCTGTCAAATAATACCATGCGGGACACATTCGTTTTTTCTTCGCGCGCGCACGCCGTCGTCGTCGGCCGCGGGGCCCTGAATAGTAGCCACGGTCGTCCGCATGCCACGAAGTGAAGTGTCCGAACGTCATAGGGCGGGAAGCTGGGTGTGGGTGGTGGCGAAGAGTCGTTTGGAAATTTGGTAGAGCTTGAACCGGCCCCCCCACAAAGTGGGGGTATTGCCCGCCTCCTATGAAAACCCTGGCACTGGTGAGAACGGAGTGTCCCCACGTCCTAGTAATTGTTGTTGTTGTTGTTGTTGTTGTCGTCGTCGTCCCGCCCGCGGCCCACCCGCGACCCACCCCGCGACCCACCCCGCGACCCACCCGCGACCCACCCACGACCCACCCAACGGCCCACCCTCAAGGGAGGAAAAACCACCCGGACCCGACAATTGACGTTTACGAAAGGACCATGGGCGTTGACTAAAAAGCCCTGCCCTGTTCGATTCATTCTTTGCGTGCGCTTACTAAATGGCTTCGCTTGTCGGGGTAACTATTACGGGCTGGATTTTCAGCCCTCTACACCCGCGACCTATTTGCGACCCACCCGCGACCTGCTCACATTGGTTTAGCGAAAAAATCAGCGCCTGCGGCGGGCTCGTGGTATAATGTGTGGAGCTTTGGCGCCTGCGGCGGGCTTTTCCAAAGTCTCGCAAACAGCCGTCGTCCCCACCGCCGCCCCCTCAGTCTTATCCGCATCTGCGGGGTGACACCCTCAAGAAATCAGATATTTTCCTCGTCCCAGCCTCCACAGCGGCCGCTTGTCGAATCCCTCTTCTCGCCGTCTTCCTCTCAGCGGACGAAGAACGGTATGAAACAAACTGTCTGCATTCGGGGACGCCTGCTCACTTTCCAGCCGCCCAGGTACCTGCGTCCCCGATTGCAGAACGGGCTCTTAGCACCGTTCTTTGCCCGCCAACCCTCGACCTCCCTCTTGCTTTTTGTCCTGCGCCTTCTTCCTGCCGCTCGTCTGAAAGGGGGGCCCTCGTGCGAGATTTCCCTGCCAGCGCGCGCTCCCGAATCAGAGCGGGGGGAGCGGCGGACCTGAGACTGAACGACCTCAGAGCGATGACCACGAAGAACATGGGTGCGAAGACGAGCAAGAAAGGCTCGCGAGCGGCGGGCCCTATGGTCCCGAGTAACTCGCCCCCAGTGGCCATACGTGCCGTCTTGTTTCCGAGCAGCTTTGGGCGCGCGCGTGTGGGGAGACACATGCGTGGCGGATCTACCAGAAAATGGACAGTTCGTGCATCGATCCTCCTTAAGAGAACGTCGTTACTGCATCAGCGCACCCTGGCCCACCAGGTGATAGTTGGAAACAGGCGGGGGAAGACGTATGTCTCAGGCTGGCCGCAAACGCTTCCAAGATCCGTGGGCGTTCCAAGCGGCTGGCCGGAGCGTCAACGTGGGCCTCTGACCCTTCCGGGCCTGACTCCTCCCTCCTTCAGCTCAGATGCACGCCGGACAGACCCAGTCTGCCGATCCCTCGAGGACCCTCGGCCACGCGCCATGGGAAGGAGGGGGAGGTGAGACGGCTTCTTTGAAGCACCTTTGTCAGAAGGCGCGGGCCTTCACTGCAGATGCAGGGCCGGCGCCTCCTAAAAACGAGCCTTCCCCCCTCCCCGAAACCCCTTTTCTGCGCGCCGCCAGAGGTCCTCAAGAGATCTCGGACAAGAAAAGGACTTCGCTCTCGGCCCTGTTTTGAGGTCTCCTGTAGCACGACCTCCCCCACCACCACTAACCACACTCACATGCGTCGCGTTCGAGGCTCGTTTCGGGATTCCCAGGGCCATCGAGGAACGAACCGAGGCGCAAGACCGATCCCAGAGATCGGGGCGAGAGCGTTCGGAGCCCACCTCCCCCTGCCACCCCGTGCGCGCCGCCAAGACCCAGGGCCACGTGCCAGGGGAGCGCAGGTGGCTGCGCGCCGCGTGTCGCGGCCATGGGGCCGCGGAGCTGCTCTTCTCCGGCGCCTCGGCGCGAGGGCGCGAAGACGTGCGGACCGCGGCCCCGCGAGGAGTTCGGTGGCCCAGGGCGTCTTCGAGACTTTCCGCGGGTTCTCCCGCCTCGGGATGCTCTCCAGCAGCTGCTCCTCGCCGAGAGACGTCCTGGGGTGCCTGGACTGTCCAGCCGCCAGAGACTCGATGTATGACCCGAGGATCACGGGCACATGGGCGGGGACGCATCGGACCCCCATCTCCCGCGGACCCCTCAATCACACGACCCGTCCCCCCCGACGTCCGCCAGCAGGATCTGTTTCAGTCCGCAGCCCCAGGGCGCCCTGGCCGCTTCCCCAGGGGTGGTCTTCCGTCCCGGGTCAATGTGTGCTGGTCCTGGGGCCCGAAGTCCTGGGGCCTGACACGGTTTCCTGAGGGCCGAAATGGAGGAAAAGACGCCAGTTGAAATTATAGTATCGTCGGCGATCTGGGCCTGCCAGCGAAAGTGAGGGCCGGCAGAGAGGGAAGTGATGAATACGGGGGGGAGCTCATGGTCAGGGCCATAATATCTCACCAGATCTCATGATCTCCCCTTTTTGTCAGTGCGTGCACTTGTCTCCCTCGTCCGCGCACATGCCGCCAGCCATGATTTGCGAACCCCACAATTCTTGTCGGCGGGCGAGGGGGGGAGTGAGAAGGAGATGGCCTTCTCAGAAGGCGGCGGGACTTCTCAGAAGCCCTCGCCCCTTCTCAGAAGTTTTCTGTGTCTACGGGGACAGCTTAGAAAACTTCTCAGAAGGCCATGGGACTTCCCAGCCTTCTGAGAAGGCCCGCCCCTTCTCACTTCCCTTACGGGCTCGCCGCCGAAATTGGGCGCTCCCCAGAAAGGCTACAGGTCGGTCACCCACCTTGCCGCGCCCCAGCTGGCCAAAAAGCACGCCCATGCGCGATCGCTCGACGGCAACCTGCACACCTTCGTGCGCCCCGTCGGGCACGTGATCACCTCGCAGGACGTGGCTTCCCCCTGTTCAGCCGCTTCCCCCGGCTCCCTCCTGCTGTTCCTCCTCCCCGCCCCTTCCTTCTCCCCATCCGTCCTCCTGCTCCTCCTCCTCCTCCTCCACCTCCTCCTCCTCTTCCTCCTCCTCCCCCTCCTCCTCCCTCCTCCTCCTCCTCCTCCTCGTCCTCCTCCTTCTCCTCCTCCTCCGTCCTGCTCTTCCCTCTCCTTCTCCTCCTCCTCCTACCCCAGCGCTAACGTTTCCCGCTGGGCTGCTGGGGGGCCCGTGTGGTGCTCCTGCCAGCGCCCGCGCGGCGCCGTACGCTTGTAAATATCAGTCGCTGTCTGCGCCAGAGTAGAGCGTCCTCTGCTCTGGCCGTCACGCCGCCCAGCGAGAGATTTCAAAGCTCTGGTAACACAGCTTATTTTCGCCAAGGGATGTCTAAGTCTAAGTCTACTTCTCCTCATCATCATGATCCTCTTGCTCCTCCTCTTGCTCCTCCTTCTCTTGCTCCTTCTCCTCCTTATTATCTTATTGCGCGTCCTCTTGCTCCTCCTTCTCTTGCCCCTCCTCCCCCGCACCTTCCTGCT